AGAGTGGTAAGAAGCAACACATCAGCCTCTTTAAGATTCAAAATCCAGACACTTTTAGAAAATAGCTTGGGGAAGAAACGAAGGAGAGGGAAGTGAATTCCTGGGAACCAAGAAGGATCTGTCAGGTAAATGAGAGCCTACAAAGAAATAAAAGAGACAGAACACTATACAGAAAAAGGAAGGGGCAATCTGCACCTTTTCAGGGCTTGTGGCTCTTGGCTTGTGTGAAAGGAAGACCAAATCTACAGAGATCAGTGAAAGCGGTGACTTCACACCCTCCAGGGAGAAGTGCATCAGTGAAACAGACCACTGGATGCTGTGTGCTACGACAGCTGGTCCAAGCATCTGCCATATCCCCTAGAGAGTGTTTGATTGGACACCATTCTAGGGAGGGGCCAACTGAACCTGGAACTTACAACAGCCATGCGTTGGCTTCATTTCAGGGCTCCCGGTGTTATACTCCCACACTGGCTGGCTGAGCGACAGCCAAGGGAGACAGACATCTGTGGTCAGAAAGCCTTGTTCAGGCCAGCAAGAGAAATACACAGAGTTATTACCTAAATAATCCAGGACCCACTCCTATGACCACAGGCCAAGTTTAGCCTGGATCTCTGTGGATTTGAAAACCCCAGACCTGGCACCATGCCCTAATCCTACTGCCGGCACACTGGTTATTATGACTGCCTTCTTTGTCTAAGCGATACAATTTGAATTGGACACTGACACAAAACTGTGGACCCTGGAATGTAGCCATAGGCTTGAGAAACATAGAGAAATCTCTTTTTCTGTCCTTTTTGTTTATGTTGTAGCTCATTTGTTTTTGTTTGTTTGTGTGAACATTGTTCTTAGTTCTTTTTTTTCTTTTTCTTCCCTCCTGCTTTCTTCCTCAGTGTCCTGGGGCTTGAGTAATCTTCCTTTCACTTCAGCCTTGCTGTCTAACCCCTTTTTCTTCTTTTATTTATCTATTTTTCTTCTAACTTTTGTATTTCTTTCTCATAATTTTTCTTATTTTACTCTATATAATTTTTCTTTCTTTCCCTCTCTTTTTCTTTTATCATCTATTTCATGCCTTTTTTTGGTTTTTATCTAATTCTATAGACATCCTTCTGCGTCCCAATAAGATCTTTGTAGTACTCTCTTATCCTTCTCATATCTTAGAATTTTTCAATAGTATAACCATAAACCTTCATTAATCTTTTGATAGTTAATTTTGTAAAATTATTGTTGAGTTCTTTTCTGCCATTAGCAGAGATATAACTGTTGCATTTACAGTTAGCTGTAAGTCAGTTCTTGGGTTATCTTAATCTTTATATCATGATTACTAGTTTCTTCTCTAGGATTAAGAATCATACATAACCAGTTATTATGGTATGTTAATATCTAATTTGTCCTGGACAATATACTATTGCAGCTATTTCACTTGATATTAGAATCATATAATTGCCACTATTTCTCCATAAGCCAACACTCAGATAACCTCTGGGACATTAATAATATTATAATATATTCCCAGAGAACTTGGTTGCTGGGCCAACTACACTGCTTCCTTCTTTCCCAACATAACCAAGATGATCAAATCTTGGGGCTGTGGCAAAGGATTATAGTTAGTCATGTTCAAAGAATATCGCTGAAAAATAACCAAAGAAATCTCCATATTAGCAACAAAGTCTTTAGACTATAAGCATCCACAAAACTCAGCACAAAATAAAACAAACAATAAAAACATGGAAAGAAAAGTCAACAAAACACCTTATAAAACCCCCAATTCGCCTGAAACCAACCTAAGGGGCATCAAGGGGCAAAAGAGCATAAGCCACACACCTGAATTACTGGAAAGGATAGTAGAGGAAGTTAGAAAAACAGTTTGAAGAGATATTCACAGAGCTAGAGAAGATATAACTAAACAGATAATGGAAGTAATAATAAAAAAGATGCAGGAACACTCAGAAGACACTAATAAAAAGCTGGATTAGCTAAACAAAATTATACAAAACAGGAATGACCAATTTACCAAAGAATTAGAGTCCATGAAAAGGTTTCAATCAGAAATCTAGGAGGTTATAAATCATATTGAAACTATGGACAGCAAGACCAAACAAAATGTGAGGACAAAATATCAGAACTAGAGGATAATGATGCTTTCAAATACCAAGTACTTACTTAAAGATACCTTAAAAACAACAAGAGAGCATGAAAAATGGATCCAACAACTGTTGGATGAAGCAAAGAACAGCAATCTAAGAATAATTGGAATAAGTAAAAAATTAGAAGACAACACAGATGGCATTAAAAATCTTTCACAGTTATAGTGGCAGAAAACTCCCCATGCATAGGGAAAGAAATGAACATACAGCTAAGTGAGGCATATAAAACACCAAATAGCCATGACCAAAAGATAACCTCCCTGTGTCACATTCTATTCAAAGTTGCAGAAGTCCATCACAGGGACAAAATCTTGAAAGCTGTTACAGAAAGGAAATGAATTACATACAAGAGTAAACCCACTAGAATAACAGTGGGCTTTTATTTAAATCACATAAACCTTGAAGGCCAGGAGGGTATGGTGTGAAGTATCTGAAAGATAAAAATTTCCAACTCCAGCTTACGAATTCTGCAAAACTATTCAAAATTCTTGGATCAATGAAATATTTCTATGACAAGGAGCACCTCAAGAAATTTATGACCACCAAGTATTACAAAATATTATCAAGGGTATCCTGGTAAAAGACAATAAAGCCAGAAATGTCAATAAGTCAAAAAGAATGAATGCACCTGGCAAGATGTGAAGCTAAGCAAAGGGGGAAAATGAGAAAATAAGCAGCAGAAAAAATAATGCAATGGCAGTATAGGTCAATACTGCTCAGTAATAAATCTAAATGTGAATGTTATTTCAACTTCCCAATCAGAAGACACAGACTGGCAGACTGGATCAGGAAAGAAAACTTAACAATATGAAGCATACAAAAACACTTGTAATTAAAAAGATACTCACATATTAAAAGTAAAAGTTTGGAAAATAATATTCTAGGCAATGGGAATACAGAAAAAAACATGAGTTTCTATCTTAATATCAGATAAAGTTGATTTTAAGCAAAGACTGACCAGAAGAGACAAATAAGGTCAGTACATATTGGTTAAAGGAACAACTCAAAAGGAAGAGTTACCAAGTGTAAACATATATGCACTAAATATTGGTGCACCCAACTTTATAAAACAAATACTAATGGACATGAAAAGTCAAATAAAGCTAAGACAATTATAATGGGAGACCTCAATACCCCACTGTCACAAATGGACAGATCAACTAATCTTTGAACAAACTGACTTACTGGATATCTACAGAGTGTTCCCTCCAACAACAGAATACACATTCTCAGCAGAACACAGGACTTTATAAAAAATAGATCACATATTGGCCAAGAAAGCATGTTTAGGTAAATATAAAAAAAATCAAAATTATCCCATGGATATTATTATTTTTCTTTTCAGCTTTAATTGAGTTTATTGGTACATTTTAGGGATACAGTACTTACATTCATTAGGACTTTATAAAAAATAGATCACATATTGGCCAAGAAAGCATGTTTAGGTAAATATAAAAAAAATCAAAATTATCCCATGGATATTATTATTTTTCTTTTCAGCTTTAATTGAGTTTATTGGTACATTTTAGGGATACAGTACAGTTACATTCATTGCTGGGATCTTGTACCTCTGCATGACAAGTCTTGATTCTCATTTTTTCCCCTTACCTCTGCCCTCCCTTCACCCATGGATATTATTGTAACATTGTGTCCTGAAACTACAAATCAATAATAAAAGACACCACAGAAACAATGCAAACACATAGAAATTGAAAAATACCTTCTTGAATAATCAGTGGGTGACAGATAAAATTGAACAAGAAATCAGACAGTTTGTACAGTCAAACAAGAGTGATTAGGATGCAATGAAACAATCCTAAGAGGGAAGATCAAAGCAGTGAATTCCCACATCAGAAAAACAGAGCATCATTAGGAAACCCCTAAAAATGCAGGTGTAGCTATCCTATATTCAGACAGAGTGGACTTGAAGCCAAAGCTGACCAAAAGAGGCAAAGGAGCTGACTATGTATTAAGGGAACAAACCAACAGGAAGAGATAACAACTATTCACATATATGTCCTGAATAATGACATATCCAACTTCATAAAACAAGTACTATTAGACAAAAAGACCAGATAGAAACAGAATTATAGTAGAAGACCTCAATATCCAACTATCAAAAACAGATCAACTAGATCAAGAGCAAAACAAAGAACAAACAAACAAAAACAAAAAAGAAATGTCAGAATTGAACAAAATCTTTGAACAAATGAATTTAATATATATTTATAGTATGTTTCATCCAATAACAAAATAATACATGTTCTTTTCAGCAGCACATGAAACTTTTTGCAAAATAGACCGCAAACTCACCAATAAAGCAAGATTCAGTGAATGTAAAAGAATTGAAATTATATAGCGTCTATTACCAGATCATAGTATAATGAAGTTAGAAATCAATGATGAAAGGAAACAGAAATTATGCAAATGCATGGAGACCAAACAGTAGACTCAAATAAAGGGTTCTAGAAGATGTCAAAGGGAACATAAGACAGTTTCTAGAACTAAATAATGCTAGTACAACATAGCAGAATTTATGAGACACCATGAAAGCAGTTCTCAGAGAAAAGTTTATAAGCTGAAAATGGCCATATCAGAAAAACAGAGTGAGCCCAAAGAAATAAACTAATTATGCACCCCAAGTTCTTAGAAAAACAATAACAATCCAAACCCAAAGGTAGTGCAAAGAAAAAATTATAAAGATCAGAGCAGAAATCAAAGAAATTAAGACCCAAAGAATTAATGATGAAGAGCTTGTTCTTTGAAAGAATAACCAAAATAGACAAACCCTTAGCCAAACTACTCCTGCAAAGGAGAAAAAAATCCCAAATCAATGCAATTAAAAATTAAACAGTGAGCTTTTCAAAGTGGCAGTATCGTAGCCAATGAGGTTTATCTGAGGCATGATTATTGCTAATTGAAAAATTAAATAGTGAAATCACAATGAACATTGCTAACATCAAAAAAAATTGTTAGCTATTACTTTGCAAACTTTTATACCAATATATTGGAGAACTCAGAAGAAATGGATAGATTCTTAGGTATGTGTGAATTTCCAAAACTAAACCAAGAAGATTGAAAATCCCTGAAGAACCCAATAACAGCAATGAAATTGAAGCAGTTAATTAAAACAAACAAACAAACAAAAAAAAACTAGTGACTAAGAAAAGCCCAGGTCATGGCGGATTCACTGCTGAGTTATATGAAAACTTCAGGGATGTTCTAATACCAATATTCCTTAAGCTTTTTTATCTCACTTGGATAAAAACCATTTATGACAATCCTATTTCTGGCACCATGTTAAATGAGGAAAATGGAAAGCTTTCCCTCCAAAAATAGGAATCAAACAAAGATGTTCACTATCCCCACTCTTGCTCAACATCATGCTTGAAACATTGGCAAGAGCAATTAGGCAAGGAAAATAAAATACTGTAGATATGTATAGGAAAGGAAAAAGTCAAATTATTCTTTGGAGATTATGTGATCTTCTACTTAGAAGACTAAAAAATCCACCAAAATACTCTGAGAATTAATAACCAAATCAAGTAATGCAGCAGGATACAAAATTAACACTCAAAAAATCAATAGCTCTGTTGATGGTTTCTTTTGTGTAGTGCAGAAGCTTTTTAATAAGATGAGATCCCAGTTGTTGATTCTTTCTGCTAGTTCCCATGCTACTGAGGATTTGTTCATAAAATCTTTTCCTATGCCAATTTCCCATATAGTAATAATCAACCCACTGAGAAATAAATGAGGAAAAAGTTACCATTCAAAATAGCACAAAGAAAGATTAAATACATAGGAATTAATGAAACTAATGAAGTGAAAGACCTCTATGATGAAAACTATAACATTCCAGAAAAGGAAATTGAAGAGGACTACAGAAAATGGAAAGATATCCTCTATTCCTGGACAGGCAGAACTAATATGGTCAAAGTGCCATACTTCCAAAATCAACATACAGATTTAACGCAATCCCAAACAAAATTCCAGCATCATTCTTTTTTAAAATTAATTTTATTGGTACATTTAAAGTGTACAATACAATGACATTCATCATTGGAAATTTGCACCTTTAAATACTTAATCTTGGTTCTATTTTTTCCCCATTCCCATGCCCTCACTTCAATGTCTCCCTCCCTCCTTATTTACAAAGACTTTGTTTCCATTTTCTCATTTTCTCTTTTTAATTCCATTCCCTTCTTCCTTTTCCCCTTACCACTTCCTCTTCCCCTTTGCACCTTTTTTTTCCTATTTAACATTATCTATTATACCTTTTAGTTCTAATTTACACTTTCAGTTTCTCACACTAGACAAACTGTTCAATACTTACATGTGTGTCCTATTTATTTCACTTATGAGTATCACGTCAATGTGCACTCACTTAGCTCTATTTTCTCATTCGTTATGGCTGAGTAGTACTCCATTTTGTAAAAAAAAAACAAACCCACATTTCTTTATCCAGTCTCCCATTGATGGGCAATTGGACTGCTTCCAAGTTTTAGCTATTAAAAAGTGTGCTGCCATGAACATGGGTGCACATATATCACTGTGGTATGATTCTTTTAATTCTTTGGGAAAGATGTTCAGCAGTGGAATAGCTGGGTTAAATGGGACTTCCAATTCCAGTACTTTTCATTATCTCCATACTGATTTTCACAGTGCTTACACCAGTTTACGCTTCCACCAGCAGAGGAGCAGTAGCAGAGAAAGACCCCACTGAAAAAGAGACCTATAGGCCAATCTCACTAATGAACATAGATGCAAAAATCCTTAATAAGATACTGGGAAATAGAATGCAGATCATCAAGAAGATCACACACCCTGACCAAGAGGGGTTAATTCCAGGGATGCAGGGATGGTTCAACATACACTAATTAATAAATGTAACACACTATATTAATAGAGCCAAGGACAAAAATCATATGATCTTCTCAATAGATGCAGAAAAAGCATCTGACAAAATTAAACATGCCTTTATGATAAAACCCTCCCCAAAACTGGAATAGAGGGTCTTTACCTCAACCTGATAAAAGCTATCTATGAAAAACCAACAACCAATATCTTACTAAATGGTCAAAAACTGAAATGTTTCAAACTAAAATCAGGAACAAGACAAGGATGTCCACTATCAACATTCCTGTTCAATATAGTTTTGGAAACATTAGCCGTGGCAATTAGACAAGAGAAAGAAAGACAAGGAATAAAAATAGGAAATTACTAAGCCAACATCATTCTTCACAGAACTTGAGAAAACAATCCTAAAATTCAGTGAAACCTATAGAGGCGGAGAATAGCAAAAGCAAACTTGGATAAAAACAGCAAAGCAGGGGTCAGGGATTTAGCTCAGTGGTTCTGTTGCCTGCCTCGCAAGTACAAGGTACAGAGTTTGATCCCTGGTACAACAAAACAAAACAAAGCAAAACAAAAACAAAAACAAAACAAAACAAAGTACCCAGCAAAGCAGGAGCCATCACAATCCTGGACTTGAAGTTATATTACAAAACTACTGTGATAAATAAAACTGCATGCTACTGTCACAGATACAGACAGGAGGATCAATGCAGTATAATAATGGATGAAGAAACAACCTCATCTATTTGACTTTTGATGAAGGGGCAAAAAACATACACTTGAAAAAAAGAGTCTGTTTAATAAGTGGTTCTGGGAAAACTGGCTATACACATGCAGAAGATTGAATCTAGACCTATATTTTCATCATGTACTAAACTGAAACCAGAATGGATCAAAGAACTAAATGTTAAAACGGAAACATTTAACTTGCTGGAAGAAAACAGGTAAAACTCTTGAAGTCATGGGTGTAGGCAAGGACTTTCTGAGTGGAGCCCCATTTGCACAGGACATAGTACTGAGAATTAACAAATATGATCATATCAAATTAAAAAACAACAAAAGAAAAATAGAGCAAAAAGATAGTCCACAATTGAGAGATTTTGCCAGCTATTTCTCAGAATACTAATATCTAGAATATATCATGAACTCAAAAAATCAGTCCTCCCCAGTAAAAGACCCAATCAAAGAATGGGCAAGTTAAATGAGTAAACACTTCCCAGAAGATGTATAAATGGCTGATAAGTACTTGAAAAAATGTGCATCTCTGCAATTAGAGAAATACAAATTAAAATATTAACAATGATATTCCATCCTATGCCCCATCCCAAAATAATCATCATCACAGTTAATGGGAAATCAAACAATAGCAAAGGCTGGCCTGGGTTTGGGAAAGAAGACACCCTTTAACATTGTTGAAAATATAAACTAATACAACCAGTATGAAAATGAATATTGAGATTCCTTATGAAAGCTAAAAGTAGAAATTCCATTTGACCTAATAATTCCCCTTCTAGGTATCTTCCTGTAAGAGCGAAAGACATCAGATCACATTGACACATGCATCCCAATGTTTATATCAGCACAATAATAGCTAAGCAGTGTAAGCAGCCTATATGGCAATCAACATGTGAATAAAGAAATTTACACACAGTGGAGTACTACTCTGCATAAAAAGAATAAACTGAAATCATTTGTAGAAAATTGGATGCACCTTAATGTTAAGACCATACTATTCAGTAAAACCATATATACAAGCTTAAATAGCATCTATGGTTTCTCTTACATATGAAACCCAAAGTAAAAATAAAAACAAAATAAATAATAGGATATAGGAAGATAGAGCTTTCTCTAATGGGAAGGAGATCAAGAGATAGAGAGATATGGAGGGGAGGGAAAAGGGATGAAGAAAATAAGCTATATGTGTTATATGCATGTCAACTCCACAAAAGGGATTTTGTACCACAAACATGTATCAATAAAGATGAAGAATAAAATATTTGATATGTATTTATCCAATCCATTGAATTTTGAGTGTGGTGTGAGGCATAAATTAAGATCTATTTATTTTCACATGTGAAAATTCATCAAATATGTACCATTTTTTGAAATGGCCACCCTTCTCCCACTTTCCTATAGCATCTCCCTTATCAGAGCACTGTGGGCCCTGTTCTACTTCTTGTCTCTCTCCCTCACTTGTGTGACTACCTATTCACCAAGTGGACCCTATGTTCTTAGGAATAAGCAGAAAGATCTTTCCTTGGAAGGAACAGCGACTAGGATGTATACAGTTCTACTGCCCTAGAACATTAGTGAACTGTGGCCGTTGGCATGGCTGGCAGCCTCTGTCAGATCTTGTGATTCCCATTCCCTAAGAACCATGGTAGCACGGCATAACTACACAATAGACAGTACAGGGAAAAGTTGCCACTTACAAGGATCCTTGGAAGCCTTCACCTGAGATTTGTCATGTAGATAGTTGGGTTTCAAGGATGTGCTTGGGTGGTGTTCTGGCTTGGATTGGAAATATCCCTACAAAGCCTTATGTGTTTGGGAGGTCTGGATCATGAGGCACTATAACGAACTTGCTATTAGGAGTTAGAGCCTGGTTAGAGGTGAGTCACTGGGAGCATGACCTGGAAGTGTATCTTCTTGGGCTCCTACCTTCTCTCTGCATTCCTGGCCTCTATAGTGTGGCAGTTTTCCTTTATTAGGCACTTCTACCATGCTGTTTTTGCCTTTGAGGCTGACCATGGCCTAAAACTTCTGAAACTATGGACCAAAACAAAGCTCCTCTCCTTTAAAATATTGGTGTTAGGTGTTGTGTCCCAGCAACGGGTAAGTGACTAATACAGATTTGATTCCAGGAGTGAGGTTATTATGGCTATACCTGACCATGTAATTAAGAAGCCTTTAGAACTGCAGGAGGTTCTTGGGAAGGATTGGAGATGTTGGCTAAAGAAGAGTAACCAAAGATTGGTGGGAGATTCCTGTGGGAACTCAGAAGACCAGAATGGTGATAGAAATGTACACAGTAAGGCCAGGCTCAGGAGGTTTTAGCTGAGAACTATGACTTGATTAACAGTTGGACCAGAGACCATGTAGTATGCTAGGGCACAAAATTTGTCTACATTTTGCCCATGTCCTGAGACT